TCGGTACTTGCGTGGGTGACCCCGCCCGCGCCCTCCCTCGCCTCCTCCCTCGAACAACTCCATCTGCGGATGCAAACACAAAAGCAAAAGACGCGCTCGACGTCACAGGTGCTTTGGCCTCTGGCGTAAATGTTTTCGAGAGATCGTCACGCGCGCCGCGCGAGCGACAGCGACAACGCGCGAACGTCCGAAAGGCGACCCGCGACGCGCCACCTGAGCAAATATTTCGTTTGTCACGCGGCGGCGTGCTCGGCCGCGTCGATATTGTCACTCGAGTCTGCGAGACCTTTCCATACGCTCGTACAGCTACACAGTTACAAACACATCCAGAAAATTGATAATTGGAAATAAGCCTTAAATCAACAAAATTGACCATAAATAAAAGTAAGGAAAATTTTTCCTTTCTGTAAGGAAAAAATTTCCTTAATTTGGAGAAAAGTCCTCAATTTAAGGAATTTTTCTTTGGAACAAGAGGAAAATTTCCTTATGTTTTTTCAAGGAAACGATTTTCTGGGTGCAGTGTTGTTGCAAACACAATCATGAAAATGTCGTCACCATTTTTTGCAGTGTCAGAACATACACTCGACTCCTTTCTCCTCCTCGTTACCTATCGACTCGTCGCGGGCTGCGTCCGCGTCGGGGCGGCCGGGGCAGACCCCTTGCGCACGCAGCCGCCAGAACGAGAAACAACAACAAGATTCCCCCGCAAGATATTGCCGAGTCCCGTCCCGCGGCCGCAGCCCCGCGCAGCGCAGCGCGCAGCCAGCCGGCGGCAGCGCCGTTCGCAGAAAGAAATATGGCTGTCTGCGGCCGCGAAACGACCTAACCTCAGTCTGCCTATAGCTACACTACAGAACTTCATCTTCACCGCAATGATCGGGTTTTTATTAATTTCAGTGACATCTTTCCTCTACCGCACACAATTTAGCCGTAACTGTGAAACATCCTCCTGAATTGCAAAGTTGCGCACAGCCCGCGCTATAGTAATGGCTTACGCGGTGACTGTAGACTACACTGAACCAGGCAGCCGCGCTCAATGTAAATCATAGTGTCCAGATGGTAAGGTGACGTAGTCACCTATCTGCTGGACATCCAGATCCAGAATTTACACTATAAGCTTACGGTGAGTTTTCACAGGCTACGGGGAAAGACACTGTAAGCTATACTGCGAATCAGAGTGTATCAATTAGCCCGTCGACAATATCTCGCGAGTTACTGACAAAACTTTGCCCATACCACCCATCGTACAAACACATTGATGATGTTTTACCGGAAAAGTCACGGATTAGTGCTTGAGTGTGAGAAGCTAAATGTGAATGTTAAATGTAGACCTGTTTTCTTATCCGTGAAACGAAATTCCGACGCTAAATGCGGACTGACGCTATCCTATGCGACTGAGGCTACATCGATCTTTTACTGGGGTGTGTTAAGTTAAGCTCACGTGAGCTCACTCGTGAGTGAGTTCACGCGTGAGCTCGCTAGATCGTGTTCTTAAACACGGCAACATACAAATTTTAAGAAAGGGGGAAGCCTAGGGATCATTACTTTTTCGATACTTCGTTTGATTTGGGTGATTCCGGGGCGCAGGGCTGGAAATACCCCGCTGCAGGGCGCGGAGTTTCCGGACTCACTCACGCGTGAGCTCACGTGAGCTTAACTTTACACGCCCCTGTGTAGTACTTTCAGACGAAATAAACTCAGGCACGTTAAAAAACAAAAATTAAATAAAACACATACGTAATGAACAGTTTTTTTGTAACCTTTTCCTAGGTGATGTTGGGAACGGCCCCGCCTGATGGTCATGCAGCGGGACCAGCGACCAGGGTGATTTATAAAGGGAACATTAATCTTATTACTGGATAGGTGAGGGGTCCGGCATCTGATATACGGAGCGGTTTAATTGTGCCGATTTAAATGCACCGATACATGTTTCCCTTTGAACCGGTCGGAGAAGGTACGCCACACGGCCCGCTGCACGTCGAAAATAGTTGTAGTGCGTTCGGAAGAGAGAGAGAGAGAGAGAGAGAGAGAGAGAGAGAGAGCGAGAGAGAGAGAGAGAGAGAGAGAAAGAGACTCGAAACGATGCTTTTTAAAAAATAGTTTACTTCGCATACATAAGCGGTACGCTCAATATTTGGACAATTGCCTTAATTGCCTGAAATGGAGTGTAGCAACTGCTGTGAGCCATGCGGGCGAGAACGACTCACAGAGGAATAATTGGAAGGAATTCGAAGGGGAGGAACGTATCTTTTCTTTTATTGTTTTCACGAAAAGTATCACGGTCTGAATTGGGGAAAAAACACGATATACTACCCCTGGGGGGACTCGAACCCCCAGTCTTCGGTTTAGGAGACCGACGCCTTATCCATTGGGCCACAGGGGCAACTTGAAGACTGAACTCATGTCACGCCTCAAAGGGCTACGTCTAATCAGTGCACCGCACGAATCGCCGTTCGCCTCGCCAAAAGATAACACTTACCCCTGGAGGGACTCGAACCCTCAATCTTCGGTTTAGGAGACCGACGCCTTATCCATTAGGCCACAGGGGCTGCTCTGTGCGCCAGCCCCCTCCACCGCGACTGGTGCAGCGGAGCCGGGCGGAGCCGAGCGGAGCCGAGCGGACCCGAGCTGCGGGCGGGCGAGGCGAGGAGCGGCAGCCGGGGCGGGGCGCGCTGTCCTGCTCCTCTACCCTGCCAACAAAGAGATCGGCAAAATAAAACAGCGTTGCATATTCATCGGGCAGCGAATGGTGAAAGTGTTCGCTCAGACCATACACCGTGCGCTCACAAGGACAACACCACAAAACAATAAAAAAATTAAGTTGCACTTTGAAATTATTATGTAAAGCAGCGATAAAAAGTCGGCACTACTTTATCAGCGGAGCAGAGTGCGAGAGTCTAGTGCTCCTCTATGGTCGCTAGCTTGTCTCTAGCGTCTGTAGCGTATGTGAAGGTACCGGGTGTAACTGTGAGTGCGCAGCAGTGTTGCGGGTTTGCCTACCCAATCCGCCCGTAAGGCGCCATGGACCCTACAGCCCTGACGGGTACGCAATCCCGCAACACTGCTGCGCATTCACAGTTACACCCGGTACGCACTCAAAGAAACCGCAAGGGAATTGATGGAATGCAATGCTGTGTGTTATCGCCTGGATAGACTGAATATCCTACTGAAGTGAACTTCAGACCGCACTTCACTTCACGTGACTTGCATTAGACGAGGTAGATAGTGATGCAAAGCGGCGTGACGCGAGCACGGGCGTGGGAGGGAGTGGCCTGGCGACAGAGCAATGCACAGGTTTATAGTGCAGCAGTTTTTGTTCTGACGCGGAGCCGGCAAGCGGCAAGGTCGTCGACAACACGCGTTTCGCCAAAGAAAAGTTCAAACGAAACAACAAAAAATAAATTAAAAAGAAAGAAGGGGCAGCAGAAGAAGCATTTCGATCTTATGTTGACTACTATTTTTATGCTGTTGTTTCTTGTTTTTTTGTTGTTTTTTTTCAACAGGGGATCTATCCATCTCGTACTGCTCTGCAATGGCCTCTCCGTGACGCGCCGCGATCACGCCACGGGGCACGCCCTCAAGAACGAAAATGTGTATGTGAGAGAGAGAGGCGAGTGAGACAGAGAGAGGCGAGTGAGAGAGATAGAGAGAGAGGCGAGTGAGAGAGAGAGAGAGGGGGGGGGGCAGAGCGGAGCGGAAGGAGGGAAAGAGCGAGTGAGTGAGAGGGAGAGGCCCAGGTTGATGGTCCTGATCCACTGTAGCTTATTGGATGCTGATCGTGCCGAGGGGCGTGACCCCGCGGTCCGGTTCGGGATGATAATGGTGAGGATAGTGGTGAAATTAATCATGTATCGACTTCGACGCGGCGAAAGATCATGGAAAATAAAGAGTCGAAAAATTATACA